TATCTCACTTACTCAATATCATAATCATAACATACGTCCGTTGCATTGACCAAACCGGACTTTCTTTTATGTCTATTTTTTTTCTCTCTCTCTCCGTCTCTTTTTCTCTCTCTCTCTCTCTCTCTCTTTCTCTATCTATCTATCTATCTTTATTCCTCTCTCTCTCTCCCTCTCTCTTTCTTCCTCCCTCTCTCTTACCTTTTTCTCCCTCTCCCTCACCCACCAAATTTCCATTTCACAATTTCTTCGCAATATTCATTTTCATTTTCCTCCTTTCTTCCTCCATTGTGTCCCTCCATTCATTTACTTCATCTCTGACCTCTCCTTCACGGGGGGCAGCTTTCCGCGCATTCTGTGAAGAAGCTGTGTGTATGTGTGTGTGTATGTGTGTGTATGCGTGTGTGTGTGTGTGTATGCGTGTGTGTGTGTGAGTGTGTCTCCCTAACTGATGTTGTATTTAAATTAATAATGTACATCTCACTCATTAAGCCTCTGTAAATATATCAGACCGAACGCAAGTTAAGAAAGTTTAATGAAGAGATCCAGACTTAAAGTTAACCTGAATTGAATTTGAATATCTTCCGCCAATGTGGAAATGAATGGAAAGTGTAAAAGTTAATTTAAGTGTCAATAAGCAGGATAGGAAGCTGCGGGGTGCAATTGTTCTCTCTCGAACATTCATTCATTCACATATTTTGTCCCAAAAAAGTTTCCCAGATCATCCAAAAATGCGAGGCAGGTTTTGCAAAGTCACAAAAAATAAATTGTGGGAGTTTTTAAATTTGCGACGAATCGAACGCCTCGTCCTAACACTCCAGGTTAACATTTCTGAATTCTGAAGGTCGCTCCGTTGGTCAGCAGTGAGGTCAATAGAGCATAAAGATGTTCACAAATTTCAGCACGGGTCCGTTAGGAAAGCTCCTTCGCTGCAGGACGACACAAAACTATCTCTCGGACCTTCCTTTCCAACAGAATCCTATAGATAATGCATGCATGAAAGTCTTTTCATAAATTATTTTCTGTCTGTGCAGTATCTCAAGAAAGAAATGTATCAAGTAAGATGTATATTAGGTAAGAGATGTGAGTGTGTGTTTGTTTGTTTGAGTGTGTGTGTCTGTCTGTACGAGTGTGTGTCTGCGTGTGTCTGTGTGAGTGTGTGTGTGTGTTTCAAACGGCACTGCATGGTGTGTGTCGGTGGAAAAATCAATTTCAAAAGTTGGTTACATGCATTCCCTCACTTTTTTGTATGTTTTTAGAAAAAAAGTGCAGATTTAAAAAAAAATTGAAATATTTCAACAAATCGATTGAAAGCTACTTTCATTACGATCTGTACCTCACTCTACCTTAATGCTCCACGACCGATTTCATTGATTAAATCTTATTTGTCATCGAAGCTGCTTGTTGTTGTTCGTGAATTAGCGAACGTGCAGCCATTTTAGTAATTCTCATACAAAACGGATTCATTTTAGTTTTTATAAATATTAGAGGTTAGATGAATTACGTGATGTCAAAGTTGAATGAATTTTCTTAATAAATGAAAGAATGGACGAATAGATGGAAGAAGGAATGGATGAATTATTGGTTGAATGAATGCATGAATGGATGGATGGATGGATGGATGGATGGACGAATGAATGAATATATAAATGAACTAAATGCATGAAGAACCATTGGATGGATAAATGAATCAATGGAAACATACATACAAACAAACAAACAAACAAACACATACATACATACATACAAACAAAAAAACAAACACATACATACATACATACATACATACATACATACATACATACATACATACATACATACATACATACATACATACATACAAACAAACAAACAAACAAACAAACACATACATACTTACATACACACACATACACACATATATTTACTCACAATGGTTTAGGCGACAGATACAAAGTTGGACAATAAATTCATGTGTCTCAAGGGCGAACCCTAGTAAATATTAGGTAACAATGACGCATGGATGAAAATAAGCGAAACACACACACACTCAAACATACGCTCATATACACAAACATACAAACAAACATGTATACATACAAACATACACACACACACATACATATTTTTACTCAATCGTGTTCATGCTTTTGTTCGTTTCATTCATTCATTCCTTTCTTCCTTCCATTTCTCCTCTATCCATTTCTTTAGTCCTCCAGCATTTTATTTTTAAGACATTGAACATTATTCGAACGATACATCCAATTTTGTTATTGTCTTCAACATTCTCATTACTTATAATATAATTATAATTATATATTATATATATAATTATTATTACATCACTAATATTACATCACTATTATCACTATCACCACAGCTACATGCGAACATGTGTAGGTACGTTCACACAGAAAATTGAACGAACACTTTGAAAAGCTGTAAACAACAAACAAACTATAAACATGATAATTAATGAAAATTAATTAAGAAACAATGTTAATAAATGAAAATTAATTAAGAAAAAATGTTAATTAATGAAAATTAATTAAGGAACAATGTTAATTAATGAAAATTAATTAAGGAACAATGTTATTTAATGAAAATTAATTAAGAAACAATGTTATTTAATGAAAATTAATTAAGAAACAATGTTATTTAATGAAAATTAATTAAGAAACAATGTTAATTAGTGAAAATTAATTAAGAAACAATGTTAATAAATGAAAATTAATTAACAAACAATGTTAATTAATAAAAATTAATTAAGAATGAGTGTTAATTAGTGAAAATTAATTAAAAAACCTATTTAATTAAATAAGAAAATTAAGTCATAATGAAATTCCCCTTTGAAAAATATAAAAACAAATTGGTGGTGCTTTGTACGAAAGCGCTAAAATAAATTTGAATTTTGTTCGTTCCAAGTGCATCATGTTTATTTGAGGGAAAGGGCATCTTTGAAGATGCCTGCTGGTTTCATAACTGCATTGGATGAGTGGGAGGATCAGAGAGTGGGGTTCGAAGGTGCAGATGGATATATCTATCTAATGTTTATACAAATATGCTGGTGAAAGACCTCAATTAATGGAGTAATTTATGAAATCCACCGAAATCCTAGCGTTTGATTTGGTTAAAAACATTGAGAAATGTAATAAAAAAAATATCCAAGAAGTTCAGTAGATTTCATAAATTACTGCATATATAAATATATATAGGCTGTCCCATTTAAAACGTATACATAGTTTGAGTGAGTTAGGCTACAAAGAAAAACGTCATCAACCAATTTACACCATGCCACAAAAATTTCCAGTTTCAGCATTCCTTCTGTCTTAGTGTTAAGATCAGTCCCGGTGCGTGCGTACGTACAAGTACATAATCACATGCAAATGTATACACACAAAACGAGCAGATATAGTTGTATATTTTATATTCTCTGGCACACAAACAAACTCACATACATACACATGCATATTTACACACACAAACAAACACACCCATGCATATTCGCACACAAACAAATTAACAAACAAACACACACATGCATATTCACACACTAACACACATACACACACATGCATATTCACACACACAAACAAACACACCCATGCATATTCACACACACACAAACAAACAAACAAACACACCCATGCATACTCACACACAAACAAACACACATACACACCCATGCATATTCACACACACAAACAAACACACAAACACACCCATGCATACTCACACACAAACAAACACACACAACCATGCATACTCACACACAAACAAACACACACAACCGTGCATATTCCCACACAAACAAACAAACATACTCAAGAACTTACACAGGCTAACAAACTAATACTTTGTCTTCGCTAGGAAAAATGAACAAGACAAACAAAGCAGAGAAATGGAGATAAGGATGAGTGAGTGAGGGCCTGGCCGTACATGCATACATCACTCCGCGAGGCAGCACTAAGAATCGTAACCACTGAAATTTTTACTTATTTTCTTCTCGTTCTCCGTCCATCTAGTTCTTTTTTTTTTTACTTTCACTCAATCAGTCGCGTTCCTGCTTTCTACTCGTTTGTTTCATTCTTTTTTAGTTCGTTTTTCCTCTCTTCCTTTCTTCTTTCCTTTTCTCTACCATCCACTTCTTCAGTCCTCCAGCATTTCATTTCTTGCATGTCGAATTAATCAGTTTTATATTATTATTATTATTGTTTTTAATTTTATTTAAATTAATAAATTTCTATTTTTTCTGTAATCATTTTGTTCTTCTTCTTCTTATTATTATTATCATTATTATTATTATTATTTTAAGAGGAATTCTACCTTTCTCTAAAGAAATTTGACGAAAGTTTTTCCGTCCTAGCCTAACAACGAGCGAGCGTTGGAACTGATGTGCAGATCTGCAACTTCCACGGTGGGTGGCAGGTGGTGTCGTGCTTGGTAGAGGAACCTGGTTCTGCTGTGCGTGTGCTGCATTGGCCGGGTTCAAATGCGAAGAGTAGAAAGAAACACGAAGAGAAAGAGAGAGAGAGAGAGACTGACCGATAACAAACAGTTAAACTGATAGAGAGAGAGAGAGAGAAGGAGAGAGACTGTCCGTCTAATAACCAATATGTAAAACTGATAGTTTTGCACCCTATATGGCACCATTTTTATTTTTTATCTACACGTGGGTATGGGTGGCATAATTCATATTTGTGAACTGGCTGGCACACTTGAATGTACGTCGTATTATCATATCAATTTTTATGTATAAAATGATCTGCTGATTTAATGAACAAATTGAACGGTGAATTTAAAATTAATTAATATTTCTGCTGCTATAAAATTTAATATTAATTATTTAAGCACTGGCCTTGTTTGTGTGTGTGCATGCGTGTGTGTGTGTGCGTGCGTGTGTGTATGGTGTGTGTGTGAGTGTGTGTATATGTATAGTATGTGTGTGTGTGTTCATGTATCCATATATAGGCATTAAAACTTAACACTAGTGCCAACCAAAGAGCCAGCACAATTGTAAATGTCCTACTCCAACGAACGCTAATATGTTTGCCCAGTGCATGAATAATAGATGGCCTCATGTGGCAGTTATTGAAGTTTATGCACCTTCAAATGCTCGATTCCTCTCTTTCTCGCAACGGGACTTTCATTTGTTTATGTTTTTAATAAGTGGTTGGTAGGTCGATGAGTTTGATGACTTTGTAGATGTTCGATTAGCCAGTCTAATAACAATTAACTGATTAGTTTATATTAATATATTATAATAGAATTTATACTATTTGTAGTGGCTCAAAGATTGCTCAGAGCCACCCGAGTTAGAATCAACATTCGACCAATCTGCATTTACATAGATGCATTCGGAGTTTCTGTAGACAGAATGTCATTGTCTAAACCATGGGATTGGCAGACTTGCAAACAAACAAAAAAAGGAACCATAACATCTTAAAAAAATTCTTCCCCGGGTCGAAAAAATTTGCTATTTAAGTAAATATGCGGCCCTTCAAGGTAAAATAGTTTTCATTGCGGTCCTTGCAGCAAGAAGTTTGCCCACCCCTGGTCTAAGCTGTTCCAATGGTTCATTACTCCGTTTTTTAAAAATATCTGCTTTATTGGTCCCTTTCTATCTTGAGTAGCTGCAGTTGTTGGCTCTCTTGTTGGGTTATTGTTTAATTTGATAAACCCTGTTGCTGGTTAACCTTGCTAAGTTTGAATTAATTTGTATTTTTCTTCTCTACAACTTTCTTAGACCAGACTTGTAAAGATGTTTATAATAATAGCCAAATAACCTAGATGATTATTACTCACGCTTTTTAAATTAAACTTAGAATTAACGAACGAGTTAGAATTTGATTAACAAATGTTAGAAAAAGTTTTGAATTGTGAAAAAATTGTCAAGTTAACGCAAATTCAACTTTCTAAAATTGTCTTTGAACCATTTCACTTTCATTTTTATCTATACCATCTTGAATCATTTCGTTCACCATTTTCCCTGAAGTTTAATTCATTTTAATCAAATCTTATTTAGTCAGTTACCAGTTGAAAATATAGTGAATGATTGAAATGCTGAATAAAAAACAACTCAAAATTTGACAAAAGTTGGTATAAATAAGCGCTTATAAATAAAAGAAAAACTTAAAAACTAAAAAATACGTTGATTGTAGATTCGTTGGCCGATCAGTTCAAAGTACAAATCAATACATTGCACAGCCCTGATGAAACATCAAATGAAGTGTATCGACTGATTGTTAGGATGGAGATGATTGATAGGTTTAATGATTCGTATGATATATTTGCATGATATCTCTATAAGATATATTTGAATGATGTACTTGTATCATATATTTGTATCACAATAGTAGGATATATTTGCAGGATATTTTTATAATATATTTGTATGATATACTTGATCGATATGTTTGCCTGATATTTCTATTTGTCATGATATATTTTTATTTGATATATTTCTATGATACATTGCGCTATATCTCCATAGGATATTCTTTTGCATGATATACTTTATGATATATTTATTATGATACCTGTATATAATAAACTTTTAAAATTTATTTGCATGATACCTCTGAACGATCTATTTGTTTGATACATATATAGTGTGATATGTTGTGGTATAATACATTTACATTGGTATGTTAGATTTGTATGATATAATTGTGTGATATATCTGCATGATATACTGTTATTGACATATATCTGAATGATATGCAGATTGATATCCATATGAATATCTCGTGTGATTTAATTTGATCAATTTGATTAATTGTAATGGAAAAACATTCTTGTGCATCATTGAAGGTACAATAAAAACTTATAGAAAGACTGTAAAAGACGTTTTATTTCGCATGAAAATCCCAACGAAAATCACAGAAATACTGCAAAAACCAAAACCGCGTTCGTTGTTGTAATATACTTCTGAGATTGTTTTCACGATAGCATGGAATCTTACTTTAAATTGTGATGACACGTTAAATAGTCAAAGAAACTCGAACAACTGCATATTTAAAATACTCCGAGGTTTTACTGAAATTTCTTGAGAAATTCTCACAAAAAAGAAAAAAATTGGTGGTGTCCGTCGGAGTTTTTTTTTGAAACAATAACTGAAAATTTATGTGTTTTCACAAAATTAAGACTCATAAAATTATCAATATGATGTAATGAAAAAATTGTGGTAGTACAAGCAGTAATGAGAAGTTTTGTCATTTGTCTGACCTTTTATTAAAAATTCATATGCAGTAAAACAAATTAAAAATTATTTTTAAAAACATTTTTACGGCAATTTTAGATCAATTTCACTCGATGTTTTTTACACAATGTTCATACGCACTGCACATATGCCAAGAACCGCACGTGCGTGCCAATGAACAGTTTCTCAAACAAGGTATTCATCAGAAGACGCGAACAATTCTTTAGAAACCAGCAAACAAAAATGTAGCAAAAATCGCACTAGTTGCTTCAAAAATAACTACCGTCCAGGGAGATATTTTGCCACACATCTTCCAAAATTGAGAAAGTGCAAGTTGTTTTGTTTGTTGGATGTTTTAAAAGGACATTGCCATCCATCAATTCAGTGCCACCTAGCTCTGAGAGCTGCAGCGATGAAACATCGCCCGGAAACAACACAAAGCGTGCAACAACATGAACGTCTGAGCTAATTAGTGTGAACACTAGTAGAGACGGCTATAATAACGACATTGATGAATATTAATTATAATAATGAATATTAATTACCTTATTTGTGAAGCTCTTCATGAATATTTAATGGCAGTTGTAATTCATAAAGGGCGGTCACATCGTGCAAATAATCGTAGTAATGGCTGAAGCACCACGCTGAAATTTTTTAATAATATCACTTGGGTAGTGAACTTGTCAACAGACTTAGGTCGTTGAACGTACAACACACGCACACATACACACGCACATACACCACACACAGATATACACGCATACACAATTATACAGACACACACACACACACGCACATACACCACACACACATATACACGCATACACACGCATACACACCACACCACATACACAAACATTTTTAACGGTTAATTCTTTTTGCATGTTTGAAACTTTTTGTGTTATTTCTTGGTGGGTGGAAATTTATTGATTGACGTAAGACATGAGCATCAATTGTGAGAGCATACAAAATTCTGGCATCTTAAGTTTTTGAAAGATATTTACAACATTTTCCAGTTTTGTCATTTTGTTGATGCGTTTAATAGCAGTTGCAGAGTGTGCAGATGCTGAATCACACATAACTTGCCTTCTAATCAGAGCCTGATTAGAAGGCTGATTAACAAAAGGACAAATGTCTAGGGCCTGTGATTAGAAGGGACCCGTGATTTGGAGGAGCCCGTGATTTGGAGAGGCCCGTGATTTGGAGAGGCCCGTGATTTGGAGAGGCCCGTGATTTGGAGAGGCCCGTGATTTGGAAGGGAATCTATTTCTGATTGAGTCGAAAAAAAGACAAAATTTTAAAATTAAATTTTACAAGTTTTAAAATTTTCTCACACGTTTGATAGGATTTCCACCAACATGATTTTATGGTATTGATAATTTTATAAAAAAAATTTCAACATGTTTCCCATTCAATGAAGTCTATAGAGGGAACAACCAGCCCGGGACAGCAAGGCCTGTTGGGTTGGTGTACCCCACTATCTAGAAATAATATTTGTAATCCATTTTTACACAACCACATGAGAACAACAATGAGTAAGAAATGCAAAACAATCCAAAAAAACTCAAATAAAATTACCAAACAATCTGTTGCTGCTGAAGTATTTTTCGTGTTTTTACAATTTTACTCGAATCCATTAGGAACATTTTTTTGAAATAACTTTTAAAATTATATAATAATAAAAAAAATGTCAAAGTCAAGTGTTTTTATACCAACTTTGGCACCCCTACGCTCCACCACCCTGCACGGACCTCCTCTTATCCACCCCATCTCGGTAGGCCACTAAATAAATGAAATCTCAAAAATGTTGAGATTAAACATAAAAAATAGTTGTGTGTAGTGTACAACGAACATTAATGCTCATGTTCGTCGCATGCTAGTAAATCAAAGTTTTTTATTTCAAGAAGTAGAGATTTCTGATAAGAACATTCGATCTATTCTGATTTAAATTAAACGTCGAAGACTTAATGATGTTTATTTCTCTCCGACTGTCTTCCTTTGGACCAGAAAAAAAGTCTCCTTTAATTAAAAACAATTCTCGTTCTCGAGTGAGAGTTGTTCAAAAAATACTGTCAAAAGATGTTAACATATTTCATGTTGATTGCTGCCTACTGTATTATTCCAGTTGTAAACATTACTGGAAGCTAAAGGAACATTGATGTCCCACACGAGTTGGTGCTGGATCCAAGTTGGAGGGGTGATATTCAAATTTTTAAGTTGATGAGATTTTTCAAATATTCTTTTAATTTTTAATTCGGGAGATACTAACTTACGACGAAAAACATGTTACACGGAACCTTCAATATTATGTTAGGAACCCCACTGGATCCACCGCTGCCCTCATCATCATATTTTATACAGGGAGCCATCTGGCAGAAGATTTAATACCATCGAGAAAGATTCTTGAATGATGCAAATGCTTCTAAGCCAAGGTTCAACTCAATTACTAAAGTTCAATTCCTACGTGTGATAAAGTGAAATCAGAAAAAATTATGTAATTTGTAAAACTGAATAACGAAAAATATTTTTTGAATTAGGAAAAGAAAAATGAATTAAACTGTTGTTAACATTCACAATTGATTATTTCCAACGATAACTCCTTGTAGAAAAAATAAAATAAAGGCCCGCAGTTGGTATTTTGTGTAGGACCCCGTATGGACTTACCTCGGCCCCTCCCAACTCCACTGCATTTTGGGGTCATCTTCTTTTTTACTCTTATAAAACTTCAAACCCTGAAATTTGCAGAGATTTTTGAAACAAGTGATGCATGAATAATGAAAAAATATTTTAATATAATAATAATATAATTATATGAAATAAAATTTTAATATATAAAAATAATATAATTATATGAAATAATATTTTAATATAAAAATAATAATAATAATATAATTATATGAAATAATATTTTAATATAATAATGGTAATAATATATAATTATATGAAATAATATTTTAATATAATAATAATATAATTATATGAAATAATATTTGAATATAATAATAATATACTTATATGAAATAATATTTGAATATAATTATGAAATATTTATATGAAATAATAATATAATAGAATAATATAATGAAACGATTAGGAGTTGATCGTTTGGAGCCACATTAGCAGTAGCGCCATTAATTCTTTATACATTTTCAAAGCTGCCATCATCAATTCGTGTCATCATCGTCATCTTCGTCTTCAGCATCATGCAGATTCAAGTTTTTTTTCAGCAGCAGCAGCAGCAGCAGCAGCAGCAGCAGCAGCATGGACGTTTTAACATCATCATCGTGATTATCGCTGGTGTCGTCATCATTATCATCCAGTAATTATCGTGGTAATTGTTTACGTAATTTCCAAACAACATTGACGTCATCATCAACATCATCATTAACAACAACATCATCATCATTAACAGCAACATCATCATCATTAACAGCAACAACCACATCATCATCATAGACAACAACAACAAAATCATCCTAATAAACAACAACAACATCATCATCAACAACAACAACAACAACAACATCATCATCAACAACAACAACAACATCATCATCATAAACAACATCATCATCAACAACAACATCATGATCAACAACAACAACATCATTATCATCAACAACAACATCATTATC